TCCACATGCAAAGATAATATAAAAATCCACCCTAATTAATTTGTGTAAATATGATTTTGAAATATTTAGGGTCTTTGTAAAGAAATTAACCAATCATTGTTCCATATAAATAATTGCTATTTTTTCAAAATTAGTAAGAAATTCTTGTATATGCAAAAAGACACATCTGCCTCATCCAAATCAGTGGGAGTTTTCCCATTTACTTACATAAGGCTATAGCAAACCCCAAATCCATTTCTTACAGATTTATGGAATACTAGAACTGGAAGGAACCTCAAGAGGTCATCAAGGACAGTCCCCTTCACTCGTGGCAGGACCAAGCACCATCCATTCTAGATCATCCCTGACATATAAAAGGCTCTTAAATATCTCCAGTGATGGAAATTACACTATTGCCTTAGGCAATTTACTCCAGTGCTTAATCACCTTGACAGTTAGGAAGTTATTCCTAATGTCCATCCTAAACCTCTTTTGCTGCCATTTAAGCCCATTTCTTCCTGTCCTATTATTAGAGGGTAAGGACAATAATTTTATTCCCTCCTCCTTGTAACACCCTGTTAGGTACTTGTAAGCTGCTATCATGTCCCCTTTCAGTCTTCTCTTTTCCAAAATAAACAAACCAATTCTTTCAGTCTTCCCTAATAGATCATGTTTTCTAGACCTTTAATCTCTGGACCTTCTCCAATTTCTCCACGTCTTTCTTGAAATGTTGAGCCTACAACTGTACACAATACTCCCGTTAAGGCCTAATCAGCACAGAGTAGAGTGGAAGAATTACTTCATGTGCCTTGCTTACAACACTCCTATTAATGCATCCCATAATAATGTTTGCTTTTTAATTTGCAACAGTGTCACACCATTGACTCATATTTAGCTTGTGATCCCTGGATTCCTTTCTGTTGTACTCCTTCCTAGACACTTCTTATTTTGTATGTGCAAAATTGATTGTTCTTCCCAAAGTGGAGTACTTTGCATTTACTTCACACCATTTCAAATTATAACCCTGTCCTCCAAAGTACTTCCAACCCCTCCCAGTTTGGTATCATCCACAAACTTTATAAGCATACTCTCTATGCCATTATCCAAATTTACTGATGAAGACATTGACCAGAACCAGTCCCCTAACTGATCCCAGCAGAACCCCATTTGTTATGCCCTTCCAACATGACTGTGGATAACTACTCTCTGAAAACAGTTATCCAACCAGTTATGCACCCACTTTATAGTAACCCAATCTACATTATTTCCCCTAGTTTATTGATAAGAAGATCATGCAAGACTCTATCAAATGTTTTACTAAACTCTAAGTATACCATGTCTACCACTTCCCCCTTATCCACAAGGCTTCTTCCGAAAAATAAATAGTCATCTGAATAAGTAAAGTTTACACAACTCATGCAGTACTACTTACATTATTCAAAATGAAGAATAAATATTTTAAAAATCCTACAGTTCCTACATTCTGATTTTAATTTTAAAAAATCCTAATAACTCTCACAAACTACTTCAAGTTCCTTTTATCTCCTACAATTCTACATCATTTGTCTGAAGTTTTAGTTAATCTTTGGGAATGTAAAACTATAGGTGAAAGAGCACTGGATTAAATTAGTTAGAATACTAGACCATAATTTACATTATTAAAGATGGTTTTAGCCAACCAAAAGAGGAATAATTGTTTAAACTATTTTGATTGTTGATATAAGTTCTAGTATTTATCCTGTGTACCCAATACTACAGAGATATAAAACTACAAAGGGGACCTTTTAAAAGCAAATGACTTCAACAAAAAAGAAACTGAATTAAGCTGAACTGTATCAATAATATAACACAGGTCAAGAAGTCCAGAATTTCACAATAATAAAAAAATCCTTGCTAAAACAAAAGGAAAAACCATGTAGCACTTGAAAGTCTAACAAGATGGTTTAATAGGTGATGAGCTTTCGTGGGCCAGACCCACTTCCTCAGATCATATTCTGGAAGAGAATTGGCATGACCATATATACCAAAGGAATACAATGAAAAAAGTGAACACATCATTAAACTGACAAATCAGATTTAGTACAGAAGGTGGGGTGAGGGAAAGGAAGGGAGGGAGGGAATAGCTATTTATGAGTCAATGAATGGCTAATCAGGGGTGATAAGTGAGGAAGCTATCTTTGTAATGATTAAGGTAATTAGCATCTTTGTTAAGGCCCATTCGTAAGGTATCAAATTTAAGCATGAAAGAAAGTTCTGAAGCTTCCCTCTGTAATCTGGTGTTAAAGTCTCTTTGAAGTAAGATGCATGTAGTAAGGTTGTTAAGACTATGTCCAGGTAGGTTGAAATGAAAAGCAACTGATTCTTCTTTGAGTGCTTGCTCATATCCATTCCAATTAGGTGTGTGCACGCCGTGTGCACGGATCTCGGAGCTTTTTCCCTCGGTTCCTTCTTCCCGCCCGTGTGGCAGTTGGAGCATTAGACTCTTAGTCTTCCCTTAGCTACTAGTTCTTTACTGTGTTTGTAAATAGTTTTAGATTCAGTTTTTACCCTGTAAATAGCTACCTTGTATATAGTTGAATAGTTGTCATCTTTTCCTCTCCCCAAATGGGGAGGGGATGTCAGGACCGCAAGGCTTCAAACTCTGTGAGTCTTGCCTCAAACCTATGCCCTGCGGAGATCTTCATGTCTCCTGCTTAAAGTGCCTAGGAGAGGCACATTGTACTCAGACCTGCAAGATCTGCAGAGGTTTCAAACCGTGGATGAGGCGAGAGAGGGACTCTGGTTTGAAGAGACTGCTAATGGAGTCCTCTGTCCAGCTCCCGGCACCGGACGACAGTCAGTTGGTGCGCAGTACCCCTTCTTCGGCACGTGGAACCTCCTCTGCACTGACCAAGGCTAAGTCTAAGTCCTCCTGGCACCGGTAACAATCCAACTTGGAGAAGGTGTCTAAGGTCCAGAGAGGCTGTTCTCCTCACAAAACGAGCCGCAAAGTGCACCCTAAGGAGGGGCACTCGACCACTAAACCCCATAGCCAGTCACGTATGGAGGTGGGCCAGAGCCATGCTACCGCTACAGCAGAGACGGAGGGAACCCTGTTAGATATACGACCCTGGAGACGTTCCACATGGTGAGGGACCTTATTGCCTTAACAGCTGCGGACGTGTCAGCATTCCCCCTTCCAGCAATGAGCAGGGCACCAGTGCACTGGCCTCCTCAGCCGCAGGTCCACTTGTCACCAGCACAATTGGCATGGCATCACCCGTCCGCGGTGCCGGGAGCTCCAGCTACTACATCTGTGCTGACTCCACAGGCACTATCTATGGCCCTAACCCTGCCCGCAAACCTGACTCCGGCACCGATATTGACTCTAGCCCCTGCACCAGGGCTCCCAGCACCTCCGGTGCTGGCAACAGCAATGGCGATCACTGGTGCATGTGGTGCGGCAAGTGGCACAGGTCCTCATGGCTCCTCTAGAGCCAACAGCGGCACCGACAACTGAAGCGCTTCTGGTGCGGGCAGCAGCACTGGCGCTTGAAGCACCTCCGGCGCGTGGAACGCCTCTGGCACACACGGTGGCACCAGCGCACGTAGTGCCTCCGGTGCAAGCAGCAGCACTGCAGCTTGGAGCGCCCCCAGTGCGGGCAGTGGCACTACAGCTTGGAGCACCCCCGGTGCGGGCAGTGGCACCAACTCTTGGAGCTCCCCCGGTGCACGCAGCAGCACTGGCTCTTGTGATGCTTCCGCCTCCAACCCCGACCGCGGCAGCTGCGCTTCTAGCGCCTCTGGCACCAGCGGCGTTCGTGCCTTCAACCTCCACACTGCTGCAGACACAGATGTGGACTATGACACAGATGTCTGCACCGGCACTTCTCCCGGCTTATGCTATTTCAACGGCACCACGTATGGTACCGACGCTGGCACCGACCCCAACACCAATTATAACACCGCTGACACTTCCGAGCCTGACGCCCACAACACTGGCGCTGTTAGTGTTTTCCAATCGGCCGGAGCTACCATTATCCTGGACATCGGCTGCACCGCCCTGTGGGGCTACGGGTCCTCATGGGCAGGCGGTACGGACGCAGCCCTTTCTGCCCCCTGCACCAGCCCCAGTGCTTATCGGACTATTCCTCCGAGTCAGGGGCAGAGTCCTTGAGGTCGGGAAGGTCCTCCTTCCGTTCTAGATCAAGGCACCAGTCTCGTTCCCAGCACACACCTGCTGGCGTGGACCTGCAGCAGTATTCCTGACCTCCCCAGCAATGGCTTTTTTGGACCCCTTGGGCCTTTCATCAAGCCCAGGGTCTGCCTCCTGCAGCATCTGTCTCGGGCTCCTTAAGACGGGAGACCCCACCATTGGCAACACCAGTGCACAGCGCCCCCGAATCTGAAACAGATTTCAACGACGACCTAGAGACCTCAGGAGGCTCTGACCAAGGTCCATTCCTGAGGAACATCCCCAGGTAGCCCTGCCAACAGTGCCAGAGCCACCAATGGAAGTGCAAATGGAGGATACCGCTGTAGCACAGGACTCCTCATCTTCCTATCCCGATGAGGCCTTAACAGCCCCAGCCCCATCTTTGCCGTCAATGGATGCGAGGGCCCATCAGGACCTCCTACGAAGGCTGGCGAAGAATTTGGCAGTAAAGGTAGAGTAGGTCCAGGAGGATACAGATCCCATGGTTGACATCCTCTCCACTGCAACCCCGGGCAGGGTGGCCTTGCCCCTGATAAAAACGGTGGATAAGTTGGCCAAGCCCCTCTGGCTGACACCGGCCTCCATCCCGCCCACCCAGAAGGGGGTGGAGAGACGATACTTTGTTCCTCAAGATGGGCATGACTTTTGGTTTTCCCACCCACCCCCGAGTTCCTTGGTTGTTCAGGCAGCAGGACAAAAGGAAAGACAGGGTCCCCCCGGGTCAACCTCTAAAGCCAGGGACCCAAAAAAATTGGACCTCCTGGGACGTAAACCTATTCCACGTAAGGCTATGCTGGGACACTATGCGTCTAATACTTGGTCCGCTATGGACAAATTTCGGGACCATTTGCCACAGGAAGACCACCAAGAGTTTAGGACCCTGGCAGACGAAGGCAGGACGGTGGCCCGTATGGTCTTTCAGGCGGCTTTAGACGTAGCTGATTCAGCTGCATGGACAATGGCACCAGTTGTTATGCGATGGACTGTATGGCTAAACATGTCGGGCATTCCACCCAATGTGCAAACCTCCCTTCAGGACTTGCCCTTTGAAGGAGCGGATCTTTTTTCAGATCAAACGGACTCCAAACTGCATAGTCTGAATGATTCCCGGGCAACTCTTAAGTCTCTGGGAATCCATACGCCCGGTCCACTTAGGCGACCCCTCAACCCCAAGCCTGCTACAAGGCAATTTCAGCGGGGTTTTACCTATGACCGCAGCAGAAGGCAGGGCCGTAATTTTTTTTAGAAATAACCCGCCTACAAACCGGCGCAGAGCTTCTAGACCAACTTAAGATAAGGGCCCCACTACGTATGAGGGTCAGTGCCCCAAATCACCATTTTGAGGGCACGATCGAGGATAGCATACCAGTCACGTCTTCTTCCCCCCCTTTGGTTTTCATTTATCCCGTTTCCACCAAGCCTGGGTATCTATAACATCAGACCAGTGGATTCTCAGCCTGGTGGCATGGGGCTATTCAATCCCCTTTACTTCCCCTCCGCCCACATCTCCTCCCCACTCCCCTTCCTCCCTTTTCAGGGACCCCCCTCTCACAAAACACTGCTGAGGGAGGAGGTGGTGAAGCTCCTGAATCTCGGGGCAGTGGAGCCCGTCCCGGACGAGTTATGGGGGAGGGGGTTTTACTCCCATTATTTCCTCGCACCAAAGGCAAAAGCGGGATTTCATCCTATTCTAGATCTCAGAGGACTAAATACATTTATAAAGAAGACAATGTTCAAAATGGTCACTCTAGCATCAATTATACCCTCCCTACAAAAAGGAGACTGGTTTGCTGCCCTCGATTTGAAAGATGCATATTTCCACGTCATGGTGTTGCCCTCCCACAGGAAGTTCTTGCGGTTCACAGTAGCCCAGGACCACTTTCAGTTTACAGTCCTACCCTTCGGACTCACCACAGCGCCAAGGGTCTTTACCAAATGTATGGTCCTGGTGGCAGCTGCATTGAGACGCCACAGGGTATAAGTCTTCCCTTACATGGATGACTGGTTGATTCGTGGCTCGTCTCAGGACCAGGTAGCCACACACGTTTCCAGGAGCCTATTCCTGCAGTTGGGCCTTATACTGAACAAGGAGGAGTCCATGATGGTCCCCTCCCAGACTATAGAGTTTGTAGCAACGTTCCTGGATTCCACCACAGGAACAGCATCCTTGCCCATGCACAGGTTCTAGACTATGCAGGCAATGATCAGGGACCTTCACATTTTTCCAATGACCACCACGCGCAACTGCATGCGCCTGTTTATTTAAGAAGTACTAATAATCTTTAACTCAAAATAGAAATGTGAGACCAACTGCCTCATACTGCAAAACTACCAATATTAAAAACTCGAGTTTTATTATTATTGTACATTGGTTTTTCCTAGGTTGATGGGACCCTCAGATAACTGGAATTTTTAGATAACTGGAACACCCTAATCCCCGATGAGCGTGCCAGATAACACAGGTTTTACTGTATTCCAAGCCACTCAGTAGGAAGCTAGATAGGCCTCCCTTCCTCACTCTCAAATAGCAGATGATTCAGTATCTCACTTGGACTTTACTTCAAGGCAAATTCCTTATTCAGATAAGACAATTTGGCATCAGACTATGTGATTTGAGGGAGGTTGGGATGAGCAACACAGTGTATTGGGATGAGCAACACACCCCCCTTCGCTGGCCTTTCTGATGACATACATTGGGACAAATATCTATTTGTCTCAAACGAAGATATGTATAGGACACAGTCCAAACAATTCTAGAATAAACACACCATTTCCCAGAGGTTACCTAACTGCTCCAGTAGGTGCTGATTTTAGGGATGTAAAAACCCATTAAAATAGTTAACTGGTTAAACAATTAAAATTACAGTTCTTAAACAATTAATCATTGCATCACAGGTGACACCTGTTGCAGCCTTCATGAATAGGGTCCTGCCGGTTGAGCTACTATGCCACAGGGGTGGAATGTGGGGCTGTTCCTGTCCACTGTGCAGAGGGTGGGTGTGCTGCAGGCAGGGGGGCTGCTCCGGCCCATCCTGCAATGGCTGTGGGCAGAGGGCTTCTCCGGACCACTCTGCTTCAGCTAGGGTCCAGCCACAGCCACAGGCAGAGTCCAGCTGTGGTCCTGCTGTGGGCAAAGGGCTGCTCTGGACAGGCCATTTATGCAGTTACTGGGTAAGCAGGTCGATAAGACTACTGCTTCTTTTTCTGAACCCATTTTTTCTGCTGCTTCTTTTTCTGAACCAATTTTTCCCCATATGGGGAAGCTGTACGTTCACTGTATTCCAACAGGATTGAAAACATGTTCCTTAATTTTCTTGCCCTTTTAACAGCTGTACTTTTACTTTTCCTCTATGGCAGGGGTCTCCAAACTACGGCCCGCGGGCCGGATGCGGCCCGCGAGGCCCTCTCATCCGGCCCGTGGAGACCTTTTTTTCCTAATGTCAAAACTTTTGCATCAAGGTACCTTTCAATCTTTGGAACAACATACCTGTGTGAACAAACATTTTCAAGAATGAAATACGTGAAGAACAATTTGAGAGCTTGGCCGGGCGGGCGAAAAAGGGGGGTCGCGAAGGCGGGCTCCGGATCAGACCCGGCGGCAGAGGATCGCGGGAGGCTGGACGGAGGGGAGGAAACCCGACGGTGGTTTCTCAGGGGCTAGGAGCGAGGGCTACTTCTCCGGGGGCGGGGCTGAGGAGCTGGTGCCCATTGCAGGAGGCGGTCTGGTTGCTGTGGCACAGCCTCTGGGTGACGCTGTGCCGTGCCTAGCGCGCTGCCCTGGTCCCTGCAGTGCGCCCTGAAGAAACATCCCTCTCCCTTCCACGTCTGGTCTCTCTCATCCACAACCCAGAGCAGCACCGCCCTGCCGGGTATCAGTCTGTGGGAGCGTTGGGCACTGCTTTCCAACTTCCTTTACCAAGTGATAACGTGTCTGCTTTCAAACCAGCTTTTCCCATTAAAATGCATGCCCCTTGTTCCATGGGGCTATGTTACAAATTGTCACCTCATTCCCTGCATGATAGGAGAGCGATCACATCTCTTCAAGTGTGAGTGTCTTAGGCTGAACATATTGCCAGGATTATGTTGCTTACAATTTTCATCACATTGCGCAGGTGGAAATGAGTTCTCAGCAGTTTCCCCGTTCTGGAGCCCCTCCTGCAGGACTAGGACAAGCACCACCCCCAATTTCAAACAGTGATTTCTAAAGCCAGAAATGTCTGCTATTTTGGCATCCAGGAAACAATTTCACCATTCACACTAATACAGGTGTTCATGTGTAGTGTATCAATGTGTTATTAAATAATAACTGAATAAAATAATATTAAATAAATAATTAAAAACAACATCCATGTTTTGATTGTTTTTTTTATTTGGACCTCAAGTGTGTAGTCGGCCCCCGAACTGCGGTTTGATAGTTAATGCGGCCCTCGGGCTGAAAAGTTTGGAGACCCCTGCTCTATGGAAACAAATTATGAATCTTGCATATAAAAAAAGGGGACGAACTGAATGTATTCTGGCTGTACTGTAAAGTGACAATTACAGAACCCAGTGACAGGCACTTGGGAGATGGAAAGAGACCTATTGTTTCCTCTAATGCAGCTTGTAGCTATGAGCCTTGTGCAGCCCACAGGGGTTTATATGTATGGCCCATGAGAAATTTTGTTTACAGCTGCCCATGCACAGGGTTGCTAGATTCCAGTGGTATGTGTGCATCACTTTTTTCCTATTGGTATTACTGAAGTGGCATACACATAAAGGGCACATAAAATGATGTTTGTGCTTATTGCACACAGCATTGACTAGAGAGCTGTGCACTCCCTTTGCATCCAGTCAAAGTGCTGCTATAAATTATAAATTAGGTCATCCCACAAATTCTAAGTACACAAGTGCAGATAGCAAAACTACCCTATTCCAAGGGACCATCTTGGTAAAACAATCTTGCAACCCACTCAGATGAATGAGCATCACTCATGCAATCCGCTCACTAGCTTAGGTTGCCCAGCACTGTTTTAATCCATCCCCGAAGGACCAATAATATTGTTAACATTTGCATTTAGAACATTTAAGGTTTGGAAGTTGCCAGGAACAGCCCCTCCACCATCACTTTCCTTTAATCTCCTTCTATAGCCCAATCCATGTCCCTCTAAAGAAATTCAACCCCACCAGCCTGAGTGGTCTGCTCATTTTCATTGCACATTTGCATTACTGCCAATTGCACCGTCTTCTCTATGCCGAACAGCTCCTTTCCCCCCTCCAGCGGATAAAACTTTTCAACCACGTGTAGACTGCATGGACTGAAATACCAGGACGAAATAAAGGCATCCCAGCCACAGCATGGTGTTGAATCTCTGCCCATCCTAATAGCTATTGGTGGACCTGTCCTGCGGGAACCTTTCTTGAGCGGTAACAGCTAATTGACACACCGAGGTTTTGCAGGCATCGTTGAGATTGTTTTCCAGCTGCGTTACTTTTCATTTACCGTACAGCCTCAGCTGGCTGGCTCTGACTCACACACACGCCCGTAAACTGGAAAGCCGCCCTTAATTTCAATTCCTGGGGAAAACACCGGCCCCAGCGCCGGGGATCACACGTTAGGCGGCAGCTGCCCGCGCTTAACGTTTGCTTTGAGAAACATGGGGGATTCCCCGGGGTGGGGAGGGACTCGAGTCCCTGCCCCCCCCAGCCCACGCCAGGGCT